TATTGAATACTTTTTTTATTGTAATAATATTTTACAGTTTTACTGTATTTGTGATCAAATAAATATAGCCTTGGTAAGCAAAATACATATCTTTCAAGAACATAATAAAATTCTACTGTATACCTACTGTAGCCATCTCTATAACATTTCTTTTTGTATGTTCTGTTTTATTTGTGTGGGTTTTAGTGACTGTTTTGGTGTTCTGGACTGTGAGTGGTGTACGGTGGACAGTGACGGAAAGACCCATCTGGATAAGCCTTACTGTGCCCTACAGAAGGAATGTTTTGGGGGGATAGTGGGTGCCAAGAGTCCCTATGTGGATGGACTGGGCATTTTAGGTGAGCTACTACTTCTGTAGTCACACTTATTGCACTTTTAATATATTTTTTCTGTTCATAATAGCTTATGGAGATAAATTGCATTGATGGGTCACAATAGTCCAATAGTCATTTACGTCTTTCTTTTGTTTAGTTTTGCTGTTTTAGAAAGATATGCACAGAAGTTTAGAATTACACCGACTCCATGATTCACACATTTTGCCTTGAGGATCTTTGCTAGTGTGTATGCTTTATTTCATTATTTCATTTCATTATATAATTATTTTTGTATTTCTTCATCTCTGTGCAGATGAGGAGTTGGCTTCGCTGAACATGATCAAGAGTGCGCCCGTGGGGCCAGTGGCAGGAGGGATTATGGGATGCATCATGGTACTGGTGTTGGCTGTTTATGCCTACAGGCACCAGATCCACCGTCGCAGGCATCAGCACATGTCCCCGCTGGCCGCACAGGGTGAGTCTGGACACTTTGAGTCTAAAAGTGAAAGTGATTCTTACCTGGGACTGTTGGGAAATAATGCTAGGGCTCTGCAATGAATTGAATTTCAGTTTTGATTTTGGCTTCCAAAGATTACAAAAACACACTAATTGAGATACAAATATTATTGTGCTGCATTCCATTCCTTCGCATTAAAGCAGTTTGCTTTCGCGTCTCCTTAAAATCCCAAACTTAATGTCCAAATTGGTCAAATCTTGAAACGCGACTGTAACGTGTAATAATGTGCAGTCTACTCCAGGATGCGTTTGAAAAAGAGTTGTTAAAAGTGCATTAAGCTGCAAAAAATAACTCTGTTCTGTTTTGTACGTGCTCTCCAAGATGGAGTGGAACACAGACAAGCAAAGTATACTATGGGCTTCGGATACGCACCTAAGTGTCAAATACTCACAAAAATATGACATAAGGCCCATGTTGGCAAGTATTCATATAAACACAGTCAGTAATGTTTTAAGTGAACAAACAGAACACAAAAATAAATCGGATGCATCAGTATATTAGAGCCGTGCATTCAGTCTTAGAGTGACAGTGACCTAATATACCTGCTGCTGTTCTTAATGTTAATCAAACAAAAGACAAAGAAAAAAACACTTACTGCTCTTGACCGAATAACTTTAGTAGCTTTAATAAGAATCCATGTAGGCCTATATATGATTCATACAGTGAAGACTGTTCAGTGTTTATATATATATATATATATATATGTATGTGTGTATGTTTATCAAAAATTGATATCAAGAATTGTGAAAT